CGGCTTCCTCCTGACGCTTGCCCCGCGTGTCACGAGCATCGGGTTGGTGGGCAGCAGCCCCGTGGCACTCGGTCCCTTGTATGACACCAAAGTAGGCCAGACACACCGGGAACACGTCCAGAGACCAGCCTCTGCAGCCCTGCACAGTTTTTCTTTTCACGGGTCCAGGGAGGGAGCAACAGCACACTTGAATTTTTCATTCCCTGGAATATTCCTTCCTAATTAGCCCGTTCTTCCACCCCACTGGGAAATTCCAGCCTCCGCATCCCTTCCTCTGGGAAGAAGTAGCTTCTAGCATCGCGAGAGGCCCTGTTCCGCCAGCAGCCCCCAAGCTCAAGGAAGAAGGGTGGGTGAGGGCTAGACTGAGCGTGGGCGTCCAGCCGACAAGCTTCCCAACGTTAGGGGCCAGGGCCCGGGGCCGGGGCGTGTCTTCCAGTTTCAGAGGGAAACTCTGCCTTCGTGGGACTGGCGACACCTGTCCTTTGTGGCTGTTATTTCAAGCCCAAGGGATTGAATTAATTTTGCCACGAAGACATTCTGAGCTCTGTGATCCTGTCCCTTGAGACCGTGTCGGGGGTCCCGAGCCAATACAAAGCAGAAAGCACAGCCGTGTGCCCTGGCCACGCGGACTCGCAGTGAGCGCGGGATACAGAGAGAGACGTTTGGCTGGTTTGTGCATTTCACCTTATTCCTCCCCAAACCCGGTACTTCTGGCAGGGCCACACACCTGAGGACAGTCCCCTGAGTGACTCAGTCCCAGGAAGCATGAGGGGAAGCTGAACACTTCTGCCGTGCCGGTTCTCGCGGAGGCCGGGTCACGAGGGGCCGCGGGAATCCTCCTCTCCGTCGCCGTCGTTTACACGGTTCAAGGTGGAACCCTCCCTGCTGGGTAATGTCACTTTTCTGTTTTGGATGGATCCCCCGCCCCCGGAGGACAGGTGGGGAATGAGGGGGTGAAGATGGCTATGGCAAAGCCATTAGGTTGTGGACCCTTAGCCCTGCGAGGATCACCGAAGAGGCCGGCAGGGGACTTCTGATCTCAGGTCAAGGCAGACAGCCGCGCCCCAGACAGCCGTCCTGGGAACACGGCCGGTATGTGCCGAGTCTGGAAGTCTGGGCTCGGCCCGTCTGTATCTTCATGGCACTATAGGAAAAGGGGGTCTCTCCTTGCGGTGGGGTCCCAGATTTCCCTGCATCTCCATGGGACGGGGTGAATAGTTCTGTCACTATGGGCTTTCGGGGAGACGGTGCAGTAGACCGACCCAGGATGGTTTGGGACGTCCGGGGGTGGGGGGGAGCAGAGCTCCGCAGCGTCCGTGGGGGTGGAGGGCGATGGCACAGCAGGACGGGGTTTCATGACGTGCAGCCACACGTGGCCAGGCCGGCCAACCCGGGGACCTGTGCTTGGCGGTCACACCCTTACTGTCCCCTCACTGTCCCGGGGAGGCGCTCGGCTACGAGTTAAGAGCAAAACTCTTTCTGATTTATCACCTGAGTCTGGACTTGAGCCTAGAGAAGGCCTTTGGAAGAAAAGAGAGATCCCCCCACCGCCCCCCGCGTTCTTAGACGCGTCTCCGATTCTGTAGAGGGAGGCTGGGAGGGTCACCGCTGTTGGAACCAGCCTGCCGTCTTTCCCCAGGTCCTTCTGGCTAAACACAGGAGGGACCACTGGTGTGAGATCAGAGACAGGACGGGTGTGGGGAAGGAACATGTCTCGTGCACATCTCGTTCTCGCAAACCAAACACCTAGAGGGTTCCGAGGCCTCTGGGCTCGCCTGAGACCACACGTAGAACTTCGCGTTTCTGGCTCGTGGGAGAGTCTGAACAGGCCAACAGACGCTTTGAAAGACTGAAGCTTGGAATATTCTTTGCCTTCCAAATGACATTTCTGCCTTTTTGCCCAGAAGAAGGGGTCCTTGCTCCCTGGGAAGGGGGTGGGGGCGGGGCGGGGCGGATACCACCCGGCTCTCAGGGAGCTCCCGTTCTCCCGAGCCATGGGAGGGTGGCTTCACAACGCCAGGAGAGGCAGAGGAACCCGCCGACTTTGAGAGCGTAGTTTACGCGCCGTGGGACGTGGACGCGCGGACTCAGGTTGCAACCGGGCAGAGCCCGTGTTCTTTAAGGAAACGTTCCCTGTTCCGCCTTGGCAAACTCGGGCTGCAGTGCAAGGGCTGCCATGGCGACATCGCCCCCCCCCCCTCCAGATTGGTCACATGGGACCCACGTACATTCTGGAAGCCACTTCTAATAGTTCCCATGCTGGGTCCTGTTTGGGGCTCTGTGTGCATCTGGGGGGACAGCAGACCGCTTCCTGTGGGTCAGGGCCTACGTGCGTGCCTTGTCCCCCTAGAAAAATGCCCGCCCGGTCACCACCTGCGTGGTCTGGGGGGCACCCGTTCTCACGACAAGAATGAGCCGCGCATTATCCGCGAGCATCAGAGTGCTGTGGCGAGGGCTCCGGAGCCTGCCGGATGTCGAGGTCGTAGGCCTTACAAGGAATCGCAACCCCTCTGACAGACTGTCCAGGCAAAGCAGCCACGGGTCACGCCACGGGGATAAGCTCTTAGCACCCGAAGTCTCAGGAATGCAACCGGGTCTGGACGGTCACCCCACACTTCCGCCACTGGGTGCCATGTGTCAGGCCCCCATGGCGGGAGGTCAACTCTAGCCCTTCCAAGATCTTTCTAGAGCTTCGTCGTTGTCCTGTCTCCGCACGAGGGCTGCGTGCCGCTCCCGTCCCCGAGGTGTAGGACGGGCTGCTTACTGGTCACTGGGGGGCGGGGAGGAAGGGTCCTCTCCAGGGAGAGGATGCTGAGGCCTTGAGCAGGTTGCCGCTGCCTCTCCAGAGCTCCTCCTCGTCCCTGCCCCTGCCTCGTGCCTCCAATCTCCTCTACGTCTCCCGACCTCCAGGGACCCCGTTCTCCGGTGAGCGGCAGAAGCGCGTGCGGAGCGCCAGCCCCTGGGCAAGCACTGCACTCCCCTCTCGCGGGGCAGGTTCCTTTAGGAGTCATGCCCGGGGGCCTTTATCCCATCTACTCTGGGTCCCCAGGAGGACATGGTCTAGGGGTCCACAGGCTCCTTCCCGTCCAAGTCCAGCGGGGGCGTCGGGGAGGTAAGCTGCTCTGGGCAAAACTACAGAAGTTGTCTTACGTGTCAGTGCTCTGTTCGGACCCGTCTTCGTTCGGGAGCCGACCCTGAGGGCCGCGGTCAGTCGGGCAGGGGAGAGAGAGAAGAGGCAGGTGTGTGGTGTGCACCGAGGCAGGGCAGGGTGGGCGAGAGGGACAGGCAGGCTGCGGCCTTCCTTCGCCTGGCTGTGCGGGACTCCAGGCATTTTCCCAGCGGGACCCTCGACCCCCCAGCTCTCGGGAGCTCGGCCCTGCTCCGTCCTGCACACTATGGCTCAAACCCTAGTTTGACTTGTGCTGGTCACTGAGTAACCGCCGTCTCCCGCGGCGGGGGGTTTCCACGGCCGCCCGCGGCTGCTGCCTGGGGCGCTTGCAGAGGTGGACCCGAGAGACCCTAACAGGACAAGCTGGAGAAGGCAGTGAGGAGAAAGCTGAGAGAGGGGCGCCGGGGCACGGAATCGGGGACACCCACCACACCGCGAAACCCAGGACCACTCTGGCACCTCCGCTCTGGGGGAAAGGGAGGGAGAGAGCTGGGCGAGCCGTCGTCTCGGGACGCAGCGGAGAAAGGAGCAGGACAGTCCCGTGACGGGCGTGGCGACCCGGGCGGGGCAAGTACACAGGGAAACCTCCCATGGGACGACCACGGCCCGGCCGGCTGCGCCGATGGACCCCGCGGGGGCGGCTGGCGGGCGTCCGGGGGAGGCGGGGCAGTGCGGGACCGAACACGCACCCCGCGTCCGCGTCCGCGTCCGCGTCGTCCCCAGAAGTTTGCCGCCACCGGCAGCGGTGAGCCACCTGGGGTGCGGGCGGAGCGGATTCACAGCGTTCCGTGTCCGCGGGAAAACGAGTCACTTGTGCAGCCTGCGCGCTGAGGGCCATGCGAGGCCGTCGCTCCGCGCTTCGTCCTGGCAGCGCGGGCTGGTCTCTCCGCGGAAGACCAACGGAGCGGAGCTGAAGACGAGAAGCGGGGAAGGGGCTCCCGCACCGGAGCTTACGGGGCCTCGCGGCCGGAGATGGGCTCAGGCTCCGAGGCCGACGGCGGGGGTGGGCCGCACCACTGCCTCCCCCGTCTCGGTCCCGGCCCGCACCACCCCCGGACTACCCGGTCCGCCCAGGAGCGGGGATGCGAGTCGGAGCACAAGCTTGGAGCGGGACTCAGCGGTCAGGAAAGAGGGTGGTGCCCACGAGGAAGACCGACGCCTGGACAGACGCCCGGGAGCAGCTTCCGTGTCCACCAAGGGCAGCAGGGCTGGCCCAGCGGGCAGGAGGGCGGGGGCTCTGCGGGCTCCGGAGTGCTGGTGCGCGACGGCTCCAGGAACAGAAAGCCGAGTGCGGGCGGGAACCCAGCATCCCCGCCTCTGCCCGCAGGGGTCCTGCAGGAGAGGCAGGGGCGCGGAGGCGAGGGTGCGGCCTGCGCACGGCCCGGCGCTGCACCCCCGTCGATGGCTTTCCCCGCGTGCCTTTGGGGGGCTCCGCGGGGTGGAGGCAGGCCGGGGCGGGCAGCCCCCCGTTCCAGAAGTCAGCCTCGTGGGGCGCAGGGTTCCCCCAGCCTGGAGTCTCCTGTTGGCCCGGGGGTGGGGCTCGAACAACGGGGCCCATGGGCGCCGCACCCTGGCTTCCGGGCGGCCGCTGGAAAACCCCGAGCGGAGAAGTCTGTCCGTCGGCAGAGTTCCTAAGGGGTGGTGCGCGCAGTCACTGGAACTCCTGGCTCCTTTATTGCATTGGGAAGGAAACCCTTAAAGCGTGTAAGACAGCCCTTTTGTGTCCCTGCCAAGGAGATGGAGCGGGTGAGTGACACCGGCTGTGCCGCGGCCTGGGGTCCGCTGGGAGCCGCGCGGGCCATGCACATGCAGGCCGGGCCGGGCGCCGCGGCTACTCCATGCCGCTGCGCAGGATCTGGTTGGCGGCGATCAGCATGACGCTGATGATGAAGGCCATGGCGAAGGCGCAGATGAGGCTCTTGCGGACGCACGTCTGCCTGTTCTGCTTCTGGGAGTGCACTGGGGGGCGGGGAGAGAAGAGAGAAAGCACAGGGTGAGACAGGCCGGCCTCCCCTCCACGAGCCCGCTTCCTGGGTGGAAGACCGCGCGCCCACGAGCCCGTCGGGGACCGATCCCCCAGATTGGACATCGCCTCTCCTGGCAAATGGGACGAAATGGCGACGCTCCTGTAACAGAAAACCCAGGAGAGCTGTGAGGTTCAGAGGGAGCTACAAACCCCCAGATAGGGTAGACGTACGGGGACTTTCTGAGTGAGGAAATAATGTAACAATTCGGGGTGTCCCAAAAGGCACCACCCGGCTTTACGTTGTTGGTTTCTGCCGGACACGGGTTCCTGTCCGAGAGCCCTGCTGCTGGCAGAGCGGGGGTCCGATGCGAGGGTCCGATGCCCCCTCCCCATCTGCACTGGGCGGGGAGCCACTTGGCTTCCTGGCATTGTCCTTGGGGACTGCTGGGGGACAGGACTCTTCAGCAGCTTGTGGTAGGACCTCAGACGCGCACACCGGGGGTTCTAGAGCGGGGTCCCTAGGCAAGCAGCATCCATGCCCGGGAAGCTTGTTAAAAATGCAGGTGCCGGGGCGCCTGGGTGGCTCTGTGGGTTAAGCCTCTGCCTTCGGCTCAGGTCATGGTCCCAGGGTCCTGAGATCGAGCCCCGTATTGGGCTCCCTGCGCAGCGGGGAGCCTGCTTCCCCCTCTCTCTGCCTGCCTCTCTGCCTACTTGGGATCTCTCTCTCTCTGTCAAATAAATAAAATCTTTAAAAAAAATGCAGGTGCTCAGGCCAGGCCCCATCCCAATGTACGGAATCAGAAAGTCCAGAGAGGGGGTCAGTCATCGGTGTTTAACTGGGTGACTCTGCTGAAATCCGAGAAGCAGAGACCACGTGGCCCGTGGACAGGACCAGTGAGGAGGAGGGAGGGAGGCACAACCCTCTCAGACATTCCAGAGACGGGGTGTCCCTGCCCCATGTCTGCTGCACCGGGGTGTCTGACCTTGGATCCTTGTGTTCTCTTAATCCTTTCTGTTGGGCTGGGTCTTGTGCCACCATTTTGATAAAGCCCTTGAGAGACCACCAGGAGGTCTGAACCCATGGCAAAGTCACAGGGACCAAACAGGGCAATGGAAATCACTAGAAAGAACATCTTTGATAAAGCGTGCTGAGGAAGCACAGGTCTCTTTTCTAGGCATGGCTTCCCGGCCGGAACTTCTCTTCCTCCTTGTTCTTCTGGTGGTCTGCACCTCCTGCCTTTCCCATCTGTCTGTCCGTCCGTGCTCTTTTTTTTTTTTTTTAAAGATTTTATTTATTTATCTGACAGAGAGAGATCACAAGCAGGCAGAGAGGCAGGCAGAGAGAGAGAGAGAGAGAGAGAGAGGAGGAAGCAGGCTCCCTGCTGAGCAGAGAGCCCGATGCGGGGCTCGATCCCAGGACCCTGAGATCATGACCCGAGCCGAAGGCAGCGGCTCAACCCACTGAGCCACCCAGGCGCCCCTACCGTCCGTGTTCTTTGCACACAACTCACCACTGAGCATGTGCAGAAACCTGTGCCCTGGAGGCAGGTGGGAAGCTGCGCACGCCAGAGCCACGCGCCCGACCAGCTGTGTCGGTGCCAGCTGGGGTCCGATGTGCGTGTGAGGTCTTGGGTCCCGCAGCAGAACTACTGAGTCAAAGCTCTGGGAGCGGAAGGCGGGAATTCATGAAGTCCTCGGTTCTCTGGGTGATTAGGGAATCGCTGGGCCCCAGCACCAGAATTTTCGATTCAGCAGGACTAAGTGGCGTCGAAGAACCTGATGGAGTTTGAGTTGCTGGGGGGCCTGACGGGTGTGCGTGTGTGTGTGTGCACACGCGTGTGTGCGTGCGTGAGGGACCTAGGGTGGGGAGTCTTGGGAAAGATGGTTCTTCAGAGTCAGATGTTAAGAAACCCAATACTGGGACAGGAGAACATTTTCCGATCACCTTCCGTGTTGGAAAAGGGGTCCTTCTACCTTCGCAGACCTCCAGCAGAGGGAAACTGGTTTTTCTGCAGGTCAGATTATGGCACGGAGGGGGTCCGGGGGGAGAAAGAAACGCAATTTCCCTTCATGCTCCTCACAGTCTCTCAGCAGGAAAGAAGACTGGCCAAAGAGCAAGGTCACGGTAGGGTCCACGTGCCTTTAAAGAACCAAAAAATGGTTCGATTTCAAGTACGTCTTCCCTTTGGCATTCAGTGGCTCCTCTGAAATCCCTGGAAATAACAGGGAACAAGTAGGAAGCCCATGACGTGTGCAAGGACCAACAGAGCTTGCCTGGAGGGACGGGGTCTCCGGGGCTTGTGAAGGGTCTCTCAGAATTCTGTCAGCCAGGAAGGTTTCTCCAGCCACGTTTCACCAGAGACCCGCGGCTCCCGGGGGCAGCCCTGGGCTCACACGCCCTTATTTCTGCCACCGTCTCTTCGTGCCGTCCTGTTAACTCTAACCCTCGATCCACGGGGCTGTTTGCTTTCCTTGGGTGATTACGGAGCATTTCCGGTTTGGTTCTCAACTTGCTGATCAGGTCTCGGTCTCAGAATCTTAAAAATTCTTACCTGGAGAAAGAAACTTTCCTGGGTGCAGAGCTGTGCCTCCCCCAGCCCCTCCAGGAACGGACGGAATGTAAACCAGTGCCCGCCCGCAGGCGGGAGAGACGACGTGGTGTTGGAGAAGGGCAAGGACCACAGCAGGAAATAAACCCAGGCTGCGGAGGTAGCGCATCCAGCACGTTCTGCGGACCGGCTCATTTCCCCTGGCAGCTCCTCGGCGTGAACATGCTTCTGAAGGCGGTCCTCTACCTTTCTGTCCCGAGGGCTGGCGAAGGCCAAGAAAAATTGTGTGATTATGAGAGGGAGAAATTTTTGGCTGAAGCCAGTCTTTGTGAAGGACGTCGGCAAACAAGGTCACCGGCAAAAGGATTATCCCCTGGGAGAGCGGCTGCACCTATGATCTGAAAACCCCTCAAAGCAGTGGGAGGGGAGAGAGAAGGAAGGAGAAAAGGCCTGGAGAACCTAATAGTTCTACTTGGGGCCATGCAAACCGGAATCCAGACCAAAGTCCTGCAAACGGAGTGGCGGAGTGGCGCGTCCTGCTCGGTCCCTAGCTCGGAAACACGTCACCGTTGAGCTCCTGATTCAGCCTCCGTGCCTCGATGAGAGTCCTGGGCTCTGCAGCCCTCGCAGTGCCGTCGGCCTGTGCCGAGCACAAAAGGAACGACCTCAGAGCCAGACCCGCGTCTGAGTCACGGGTTAGGTAGCGGCCACACGGGCGAGCAGGGTGTGTGAGCGTCACCTGACAGGGAGCTCCAGGCAGTGAGGTCCAAGTTCGTCTGGCAAGTGGTGGAGGTGGGGCTTGAGCCAGGTCGGATTCGAAGACCCAGGTTCAAAACCTCTGCACAAACTCAGTCACCTTGATCTTCTGCTCCGCGTTAGGAAGAGCCAAAGGGAAGGCACGTCACCTGCTGCGGCTGACGGGGGGGGGGGGTCCCGCCGCACGCTCGCGGGTTGGCTGACCGTCACTGGCGGCCGCTTGGCGAGCGGACGTGTGCGTCGCGCTGTGGTTTTGGGGTTTGTTTCTGTGTCCAGGGTTCGCTTCCGCGATGAGACTACTGGGCAGCTGAGGGTGAACTATGAGCCCGGCTTGGGGCCTCTCTTAACCACCACTTAGGAGCAGCCCCCGGCTAGTGACTGAACTTCCCTGAGCCTCGGTTTCTGTCTCTGTCCAAGGACCAAGTGGTAACAGCTCTGCTGGTGTCAAGAATTATCTCAAAGATGAAGGAGCCAATAAAAAAGCTGAAGGCTGCATCCAACTGAGAATTGCTGAAGAAACGCAAGACTTCCTCCTCTGCCCTCGGGGCGGCAGGAAAGGTCTGCTCATTTTTCTCCTGTTCCCGCAGCCTCCAGCCCAGGCGCGCACGTCCGCGCGGTGCTCCCAGACCTCTGCCGTGCTCCCTTCCCTCCTTAACTGGCTCCGGGCTGCCGCGAGACTCCCTCCCTGCAGCGGCGCTCCGGACGCACCACCCAAGCCCGCGGCCGTTCTGCAAGGGCTTCCTGCTGGGGGAGTGCGTCCCCCCAGCTCCGAGGCTCCCCAGGCCACCTCCGGCCCCTCTCCCACCTCTGCTCCTCGACCACTCTGCCTCCCTGCCCAGCAGCCTCCGTTTCAGGCCCCCCCGCACGGACTCCGCCTGCTGCCCGAGACTCCGGGCACCTGTTCTCGCCACTGGGGCGCCGCTGCCCCCCGCCTCACGTCTTCGGGGCTTAGCGCAGACTTCAGGGGGCGTCTCCTGAACATCTTGCTCTCCAAGAGCCTGATCCTTTTACATTTTTTGTAACGGCCTCTCAATAGTTATTCGTTTCTCACGGAGATGGCATTCCCGTACTAAGTACCAGGGGCATTCAGTCCGTCCACGGGGCTGTGACAGTATCGCCACTGCCTAAATCCGGAATGCGTTCACTGCCCGAAAAGGGGACCCCCACGCGCACCAGAAGTCACGCTTCACTCCTGCCCCCCCGCCCCTGGCAGTGCTGCTCAGCTGCTTCCGCTCTGGGCGTTGCAAATATATTACACCCTATGTAGCCTTTCGTGTCCCCTTCCACTTAGCCCGGCCCAGGCACAGCCGCGGCGAGCGTTCCTGCTTCACTCCTCTGTGCCACACTCTGTCCTGTCGCCGCGGATGGACGCTGGGGCTGTCTGTTTTGGCGATTGTGGATAATGCCGCTAACACACTCGGATCCGCGGCTTTGCGTGGACGTGTCTTCGGCTCTCTTGGGTACACAGACCTAGGAGTCAGATTTCCGGGTCAGACGGTAACTCTTTTTTTTTTTTTTTAAGATTTTATTTATTTGACAGAGATCCAAGTAGACAGAGAGGGAGGCAGTGGGGGGGGGGGAAGCAGGCTCCCTGCTGAGCAGAGAGCCCGACGCGGGGCTCGATCCCAGGACCCTGGGATCATGACCTGAGCCGAAGGCAGAGGCTTAACCCACTGAGCCACCCAAGT